ATCCTTGAAGTAGCAAGAGAAAAGGAGACAGTAACTTACAAAGGAGTTCCCATCAGACTGTCAGCTGATTTCTCAAAAGAGACCTTACAGGCAAGAAGGGGCTGGGAAGAAGTATTCCAAGTCATGAAAGGCAAAGACCTACATCCCAGATTGCTCTATCCAGCAAAGCTTTCATTTAGAATGGAAGGGCAGATAAAGGGCTTCTCAGATAAAGTCAAGTTAAAGGAGTTCATCATCACCAAGCCCTTATTATATGAAATGTTAAAGGGATTTATCTAAGAAAAAGAAGATAAAAAATATGAACAGTAAAACGACAGCAAACTCACAGTTATTAACAACCACACCTAAAACAAAAACCAAAAGAAACTAGGCAAACAACTAGAACAGGAACAAAACCACAGAAATGGAGATCACATGGAGGGTTATCAACAGGGGAGTGGGAGGGGCAGAGAGGGGGGAAATGTACAGGGAATAAGAAGCATAACTGGTAGGTAGAAAATAGACAGGGGGAGGGTAAGAACAGTATAGGAAATGTAGAAGCCAAAGAACTTATATGTATGACTCATGGACATGGACTAAAGAGGGGGGAATGTGGGTGGGAGGGGTGTCGGGCAGAGGAGAGTGAATGGGGGGAAATGGGACAACTGTAATAGCATAATCAATAAAATATATTTTTAAAAAGAGTTAAGCAAGAAATCAATTCATAATGTCTAAAACTGAAAAGTCAAGAACTAGCAGTGTAAGCATATATTCTGAGAATCTATGAGAGTGAACCCAGCAAAACCACAAGGAACAATAGTTGGGAACTACCGACTATGTATCCCAAGTTGAGCATTCCCTAGCTGTGTGGCCTTGGGCAGAATTTCACCTCTTTGGAACTTGGTGTCCCTGTCCATAAAGTGGGACTGCCATTGTGAGCATTGTATGAGTGGCAAATGCTTGACCTTTCATGGTAGCAAACGCACACCAGTAAAGGCATAGCCCCCCAGAGCTCTTACATTCATTGACATTACCCTCCTCAAAATATGATGTGCTGTGTTTGCCAAAGCCTGGGTCTGGGCCAGGAAAAAAATAAAAGGGCCACAAGGGCCTAAGACAATTTTGTCTCTTTCTCCACAGTGGTCTGAGAGGTATTGTCCCCATGAGAAGGAGCAGATGGATGACAGTATTGGCTCCTCATTCTTGATCTTCACAATTTTGCCAAGAAATTCTGTCAGTGGGACTTGAAAAGAGAGGATAGTAAAAAGCTTTGAGACAGGAGGAATTTCTCATCCAATCTTTGAGTGAACACAATGTGAGCTATGTTGTCACTGGTGGGGTGCAGGCAGGAGGGGATCCCAGTGGGGAGATGGGATGTAGGCCCTGGAGGAGGCCACAGACCCAAACTTAGGTGACACAGGAGAATTGACAATGACCATTTACAACCTCACTTTTATCAATTATGAAGAAGGGGGAGGAGATAAATAAGAGGTGGCAGTGGGGTGGGGCACAAGAAGGAAAAGGGGGGAGGGGAGGAGAAGAAGAAGGAAGAGGAAAATGTGGATTTTTATTTCAGTTAGTTGTATATGTTTTCTCACCAGGCTTTGTTGAAATACTGAAAATAGCTCTGAGACCTGCCCTTGTCAGCCCCCACTCTCACCCAACATTAACTCCAGGGATTGGAGGGGTGAGCCTTCCCATGCTAGATCTAAAGTCAGAACTAAATTATTGAATAGGTCCTGGGAGAACAGTGAAGGCACTCTTTCAGCTTTCTGCCTGTTGTAATTTTTACCTCCTGTTAGCTGATTTTGACAATGGATTTGCCACAGTTCAATGACAGATGTGTGTGAAAGCGACAGAACCTGTGTGGTGACAACACAGCTGAGTCACAGCCAGGTCGCCCTGGGAAAGGGCATGCAAAATGCAGAGTGTAGGCTGGCCTTGTGCCTGGACAAAGACATGATTGCCAAATGGTAGTTAATATTCTGATGTAAGTGGTATAAAATATAATTGATTACTTATAATCAATTATATTGCCTCAAACTAGTACTCCAGACCTGGGACCTGCTCCTGGAATCTCAACTTGTAGCTCAAGCATCAAAAATTTCCCCAGAGCTGCTTTGTTACTTTGCCTCTCTTCTGAGCTGTCTCACAGGTACCTTCCTGGATGATCTGAGCACCCACAACCTAGTCATGTGTCTTGTTTTGTAATTTGACAGTTGAGGGTGTAGCTCCTCTGGCTCCTTATGCTGTGTCATTCCTCTCTGCATCCAGTGCCTTCCATAGTACCAGGCATAGTGCAGGTCCTTCATATGTGCTCAGAAATGACTAACTACCTCACACATAGTTGTCCTCAGTAAAGACTTGTGAAATCAGAAGCCATCCTGGTTCTGGCACTGTGCTACAGACAGCTGGACTGGGATAATATTTGAGTTCCATTTGGCTCCCTCCTCTGCTTGAGTTCCCTATCCACATAAAACTTAGGGGAACTTTAGCTGGTGTGGCTCAGTAGTTGAGTGCCAGCCTGTGAATCAGAGAATCGCTGGTTCAACTCCCAGTCAGGGCACATGCCTGGGTTGTGGGCCAAGTCCCCAGTAGGGGGCATGCAAGAGGCAACCACACATTGATGTTTCTCTCCCTCTCTTTCTTCCTCTCTTCCCCCTCTCTAAAAATAAATAAAATAAAATATTCAAAATAAATAACAAAATAGAACGTAGGGGGAAGGATCCTTGATACAGACAAAGTGACTGGGCCAGAAACCAGCACAGAAAATAATTTCTCTTAGATTAAAAAAGAATGGCCCAGTGATTTCAATGTGTAAATAGAATAAAATTATTTTTGAAAGGGCTTTCTAACTATGACCCAAAATCCAAAATCTATAAAAGAAAACATTGATAAAATAGGCTACACAAAACAAACAGCCCAACAAAAACTTCTGCATGGCAAAACAAACAAACAAACAAAAAACACCTTAAGCAAAATCCAAAGACAAACAGAAAATGGGAACAAAACATTTACAACTCATATCTAAAGACTAAACAAAAAGGAAAAGACCAGCTACCCAACAAAAAATCAGGCAAAGGCAATGACAAGGAAAAACAGCATAAATATACCTGGTCTAGAGATAAAACAATTCAAACTACACAGACACTATCTTCCACCTAGTAAATTATTAAAACCCAGACACTTAAAAACACCTGTGGCAAGGTCACAAGGAATGTGGCAGCCTCATTATTATGGAAGAATAGGAAATAGGAGTGACCTCATGAAGGACAATTTGGCAACATTTGTCAAAATTACTGATGTATTTACCCATTAATACAGTGATTAAACTCTGGGATTTATCCCAAAGTGCAAAATGATAAGTGCATTGCAGAAATATTTGTAATGACAGAATATCAAAAATAACTTAAATGTCCATTAATGGGGGATTGACTGAGTAAATTATAGGAAGTTTATAATTGGACTATTGTACAGTTATACAAAAGGAATAAGAAGGCTCTCTATGCATTGCTAGGGAAAACACTCCAAGATATATTAAGTGGGAAAACAAAAATAAAAACAAAACAAAGTACTGTTATAACAACATGGCTTATAAGCTCCCTCCCTGCTTTCCTTCTTTCTTTCTGCAAAAAGGAGGAAAATTTTAATCTGTTAATTGATATGTTGTTATATACATAGAGAAACACTGTAAAAAATCAAAAAACAATGTTTTGAATAAGATATTTCAGAATAAATTTAACAAAAAATGCAAACCTTGTACATTGAAAACAATAAAACATTGTTGAAAGACATTAAAGAAGACCTAAATAAATGGAGCGACCCTCCATATTCATTGATTAAAGACTTAATATTGTTAAGATGGCAGTACTCCTCACGTTTTTCTACAAATTTAATGCAATCCCAATAAAAATCCCAGATGGCTTTTCTGCAGAATTTAATAAGCTAATCCTAAAATCATACAGACGTGCAAGAGACCTAGAAGAGCCAAAACAATCTTGAAAAAGAAAAAACAAAGTTGGAGGACTCACACTTGCCAATTTCAAAACTAACTACAAAGCAAGAGTAAAATAAAACTGTGGTACTGGAATATTGATAGACAGATCAATTAAATAGAATTGAAAGTCCCCAAATAAAGCCTAACATTTATGCTCAATTTACTGCCAGCAATGGTACCAAGATAATTCTCTGGGAGAAAACAGCTTCTCAACAAACAGTGCTGAGACATGTCCAAGAGTATGAATTTGGTCCCACCTCTACCTCAAACCATATACAAAAATTAACTGACAGTGGATCATAGACCTAAATGTAAGACTTAAAAGCAGACAATTTTTAGAAGAAAATAGGTGCAAACTTGTGGATTAGGCAATTATACCAAATGCCCAAATGATTAAAGAGAAAACTAAGAGATTGGACTTCACCAAAATTAAAAACTTTTGTTTCACAGAACAGCATCAAGAAAATAAAAAGACAATTCACAGACTTGGAGCATATACTTGCAAAATGCATATCTGATAAGAGATTTGTATTTAGAATATATAAAGAACTCTAATAACTAATAGAAAGGACAAATTGTTAGATAGGACAAGAATCTCAAGGTCTGGGCCATTCTTACCAAACAATATTCTCACCAACTGTTAAAATGTAGCACAGTATTTTACAGACCAGCTGTAACTGGATGAACTTGACAGGAACCCAACCCAGTAAGTATAGACAATGGAAATCAATGTGTAGTTGCCCAAATAGTGCTTATGAGCAACGGCTAAGCTTCCCTTCCGGGATGCAGAGCTTTGGATGTGAATACCTGCTCTCCTTTACTTGCCGAAAGTAAATAAAACTACCTTGCAACAAGCGTGTCTCTTTTCTGAGTAGAGCACCGCAAGTGGTGAACCCTTTGAGTTCAGTAACAGATTTAACAGATTTGGTGACAGTGGATGGAACTCTTAAAAGAACTCCCTCTGGGCCTGTGGGGGCACTTGGAGGAGCAGTCGGCAGTGACAGCTCATCCAGGCCTTACTCACCTGCGTCTCCACTGGACCGGGAGTCTGTTCTATGGGAGACTCCCCCTCGGCACTGAGCATGGGAACTTCAGCAGCGAAGCAGAGTGGCCACCTGAACCTCTTCTGTGCAGTGCTTCAGCAGGGGAGAGGGTAGTCACTTTAAGTAGTGTTTCTATTCCCGTTAGGGTTGTCAGAAAGGTAGTTTCAGTTCTGGTGTGGGCTCGTTTCCGGTTGGTCAGGCAGAAACTGTCTCCGGGATGCCGTATTCAGGGCCTGACCTGAGGGTTGAGGGACGCCTGCAGGGCAATCCAAGACATTCTCAGTAACAAAATCTCTGGTCTGGTTGTCTGGTTGTCTGTCCTGCAGGAGATGGATTTTGTCCTTTGTGTGGACATTTGCGTTTGCCTTGTCTTATATGTACATGTGCCGGCTATGGGAAAATTAAATTTGGTAACTGATTGCAGCCCCTGGGGTGTACTCATTCTTCAGAATTAGATAAAAAGAAGTCTGTTTATTTGACTTAAAGACATTAAGCTGTACATAAATTGAGAAATATGACAAACAGGTCAATGGTAGGAAACCATCCTGTCAGGGCAGCCCTGCTCCAGGCCAGGAGTCCGCTGTGCATTAGGGAGGCACTGTTTTCCAAGTGCAGTGTTGCAGGCTGACCCGGGATAGCCCTTCCAGGAAGCCCAGGGTGGGGGAGCCCCGTGCTTTGTCCCAGCAGAGGCAGCCATGGGGGCTAGGAACAGAACACTGCTCTGCCAAGTATGGGCTGGGACAGAGACAGCTGCAGGGAGGCCACACCACCAAGAGCAGTCCTTTCAGCAGACTGGGTCTGCCCTGCGGCAGGTGAGCCAGGCAGCCTGACCTGTCCTCTGCCTCCCACAGGCCCACGTGTCTGGGACCTGGGGCCAGCCTTGGGAGGCCTTCTCAGCCCAATAGCTCCAGGAGTCCAGACATCAGAGGAGGAGAGGAGCCAGGACCTAGGACTGCAGTAGGGGGTGAGTGCTGTGCAGGCGTCTGCAGCTGGACCGAAGTGAGACAGGGCGGCTCCTCGTGTGAGCAGCCCCTGCCGCATGGCTGACTGTCCTTACTTTTCTGTCTCATGACAACTTGTGCCTGTACCTCTTTCCTGTCTTCACTCTCAGTCCTGAGCTCCTATTGTTTCCAAACTGGGGACAAGGGGTGATGGAGCCACAGTCTGTGAGAGGTGGGAACTGTGGGCTGTACATACCTCAGGTGATCTGCTCTTCTCAAGGCTTGTCCCAGTGCCTGCTATACAGTCGGTTTTGGGGACAAAGAGGTTGCCAGTGAGTGGTGCTCTCTCCCTGAATCCTGATTTTCAGAGGGGTGTTTGCCTCTGAGCTGCAGCTCTGTAGCCGGCTAACTGGGGGATGGTGTCTAACAGGATATCTGATCACAGAGGGCCCTGTGCTGTGTGGGTCGGGACAGGGTGGCCTCACGTGTGTGGCCTTATGCTCCTCCTGTCTGTGTGTGATTGTGTGTACACACACAGAGCTTTTGTTCCCTGGGAGAGTCTGCTGCCCTCACAGGGGGCTCCTCTGTGGTGCACTGTCCCAGGGGAGTGGATGCAGAAGGCTGTGTCCAGCCTCCCTCCCCAGGCCCAGATGCCTTACCAGGTGTGGCTCTTCACTCTATCACCTGGCAACAAGCGTCAGTATGGCTGAGAAACCATGGGATGCCGACTGCATGTTGTGTAGACCTGTCCCATCTGGTATCCCTTCCCCCTCTGGGGTTACTGGGCTTCATCCACTGGGCTCGCCCTCTCCACAGGGTCACTTCCTGCCCAGATCCTACCTGTCCTAGCAGCTCAGTAGGTGACCCCTGAATAAAAACCATGGCTCGGTGTCCTGAATTTTATGGGAAGAGATTCAAATATGATAGCACCTCCCCTTCACTCCCTTGCTGGCTCCTTTGTCCTCAGGGAGGCTGTCACGCTGGTCCATCTTGCTCATTGAAGCCCCACCAGAGTGTGAGTTCATGGGTGGCAGGGCCTCCGTCTCCTTGGCTCTTCCTGCTGCTGCCTCACCCTTTATGATGCATGTCTCCTGTTACAGTAGAGCTCTCTTCAAGCCCTTCTGTCCTCAGGACCCCCAGAACGTAGGGGGCCCCAAGGCTTCCATAAGTCAGGCAGCCAGAGATTTTCATGGCTCCATATCCAAACACACACTCCATCCATGCTCAGCAGGAACCAGTTACAGAGGGATGGCCCCCGTCCCTATTCCCTCAAGAAAGAGATGTGAAGTTACAATTTCAAGATGGCAGTGGAGATGGCGTTGGAAGCTACACTTACCTCCTCCTAGGACCAAACTGGAATTACAACTAAATTAAAGAATGATCATCCTGATTAACCAACGGAAGACTAGCTGAAGAGGAGTCTTATTACCAAAAAATTTATGGAAGAAGTCACATTGAAACTGGTCGGAAGGGCAGAGATGCAGAAAGGACTAGCCTCACTCCCACAGGCAGTGGCTGAGGTTCCAGAGGGATATCTCCACTGTAGGGGTCTCTATGAGAAGTGTGGGGTGTAAACCCAAAGCAGAGCTCTATAACCAGGCTCTGAGCCAGGAAGGTGTCCACATAACATCTGGCTGTGAAAATCAGCACAGATTCTTTCCACCAGGGAGAGATAGAGTCTGTTGAAGCCACAGATACTCACTTAAAGAGCCAATGCACAAAACCTGTTTGTAGCCACTCACTCTGGGCTCCAGTGGAAGGAGGGCAGAGCAGACTAAAGTCATATGAGGAAAGACTGGGGTTTGTGTCTCTGGGAAGAAAGGTGAAGGAACAGCCAACAGGCTCCCTGTGCTGAGTCACTCTCCCATACTGCAGACACCATCTTTCTTGACTGGAACACTTGCCTCTATGTGGCATCAGCCTGGGAGAAAGAAATAGCCCCAGCCTCAGGGCTCGATCTTGCCCCACCCTACAGAGCCTGGGCCCTGCTGAGGAGTCAGCTGCCTTGGCCAGGGTGTAGAAGTCTGAGCAGATTCAGGGGGTGTCAGTCACTGACTTGTCCAGCTTTTGGGTGCAGTCATTCCCCCCACTTTCCTTGAACCTGACTAGCACATTCACCACATTGGTGATTCAAAAGAACCACCTCCCAGCTTCCAGCAGACCCAATGTCAGGGCTCTGGAGGCCCTACCCACCTGACTCCTAGTGGCTGTGCTCTGCTGAGGCAGGGGCAAAATCTGGGACAGACTGAGTTCTGTGGCACCAGGGCAGAGACTACACCATTTTTTCTGAAGCCTGAATGGCACCTTCCTCTCACAGGAGATCCACAAGCCCCATCCTCCCACTGGATGCTCCTTCAGTGACTGAGCCTAACAGGCAGCCAGCAGGTGGGTGGAGACAGATCTTGAGGTGCCTTGGGACATTGCTGACCTGTACCAGGGCCCGGTGCTGGTAAAACCCAGCTTTGGTGTGCAGTTTGGTCCATTTTGCAAGCATCCAAACCCAGCAGACGTAGCCACAAACTGTGGATAACTCTTAACTCCAAACAGGTTGCCAAGGCCCAGACACACACAGCGTCTGGCACTGGCCTGCACCAAAATACCTCCCAAGAGGCCCAGAACCAACATACCCCAGTGGCCAGCTTCAGACAACATCAAAGCAGGATCCAATAAGCTTCACAAAGAGCATATCCAAAGAGAGAGCTCAGCAGGCACTAAACCCAGCAGAGGTGAATTCGTGTATAGTGGTCAGCACCTGCACAGTATCTCACACACTGGGTCAGGGTTGAGCCTCACAGTCAGCCAGCCTGAGGGTTAATTCCACACACAAATGAGCCAACAGCAATAAAGACTCAATTACAATAGGAGGGTCCATATAACTCACAGAAGGGATATTCCTCAAGCACTCAGTTCAAGTGATCAAGGAGACTGCACTACTGGGTTCCACAGGACACCTGTTATATAAGGCCACCCAACCTAGACTGGGAGTCATAGAAGATCTACCTAACACATAGAAACAAACACAGGAGGCAGCCAAAATAGGGAGACAAAGAAAAAGGCACCAAATGAAAGAACAGGAGAAATCTTCAGAAAAAGAGCTAAGTGAAATTTAAGTAAGCAATTTATCAAATACAGAGTTCAAAGTAATGGTTATAAACATATTCAAGGAACTTAGTGAGAACTATGACATGTGAAAAAGGACATAAAAGCCATGAAAAAGAACCAGCAGAAATGAAGAATACCGTATCTGACATCAAGAATACACTGGAAGGAATAAAAAGGAGGTTGGATGAAGCAGAGGATAAAATGAGTGATTTGGAAGACAAGGTAGAAAACAACACACAATAAAAACAGCAAAAAGTCCAAAGAACTAAAAAGAAAGAGGGTAGTTTAAGGGACCTTTGAGACATCATGAAGCATAACAACCTCCACATCATAGGGATGTACCAGAAGGAGAAGAGAGAGAGAGAGAAAGGGATTGAGAACATATTTGAAAAAAAATAATTACCAAAAACCTTCCTAACCTGGTGAAGGAAAAAGACACATAAGTCCAGGAAGCACAGAGAGTCCTAACCAAATGAACCAGAGAGATCCACACCAAGACACACCATAATTAAAATGGCAACAGTTAAAGAGAGAATCTAAAAGGCAGAAGAGAAAAGCAGTTAGTTACCTACAAAGGATCTGCCCTAAGACTGTCAGCTCATTTCACAACAGAAACCTTTCAGGCCATAGGGGATTGGAATAAAATATTCAAAGTAATGAAAAGCAAGGACCTACAACCAGGATTACTTTACACAGTATCATTTAAAATTGAAGGAGAAATAATGAACTTTCCAGAAAAAAAACAAAAACAAAAGAGTTTATTACCACCAAACCAGCATTACAAGAAATGTTAAAGGGCCAGGTTGAAGAAGAAGGAGGAATAGAAAGGGATAGGGAAAGGGAAGAAGAAGGAGAAAGAAGAACAAGTTGAAGAAGATGAAGACAAGAAAAAGGAGGAGGAGGGGAGGAATAAGAGAAGAAGGGGAAGAATGGGAAGAGGAAGGAGGAAGAGGAGAAAGAGGAGGAGGGGAAGGAAAAGCAGGTGGAGGAAGAGGGAAAAGGAGAAGGAGAACAAACAGAGGTAGGTAGTTGAAAAAATAAAATGGCAAT